AGAATTAAAATTGTCAAAATGGCCATCCTGCATAAAGAAATATACAGATTCAATGCAATCCCTATCAAAATACCGACAGCATTCTTCAATGAACTGGAACAAATAGTTCAAAAATTCATATGGAACCACAAAAGACCCCAAATAGCCAAAGCAACCCTGAGAAGGAAGAATAAAGCAGGGCACATATGGCTTCCCAACTCCAAGCTCTACTACAAAGCCACAGTAATCAAGACTATTTGGTACTGGCACAAGAACAGACCCACAGACCAGTGGCAAAGAATAGAGAGTCCAGATATTAACCCAAACATATATGGTCAATTAATATATGATAAAGGAGCCATGGATATACAATACATAAATGACAGCCTCTTCAGCAGCTGGTGTTGGCAAAAATGAACAGCTACATGTAAGAGAATGAAACTGGATCATTGTCTAACACTATACACAAAAGTAATGGATCAAAGACCTGAATGTAAGACATGAAACCATAAAACTCTTAGAAAAATATAGGCAAAAATCTCTTGGACATAAACATCAGCAACTTCTTCATGAACATATCTCCTCAGGCAAGGGAAACAAAAGCAAAAATGAACAAGTGGGACTATATCAAGCTGAAAAGCTTCTGTACAGCAAAGGACACCATCTATACAACAAAAAGGCGTCCTACAGTATGGGAGATTATATTTGTAAATGACAGATCAGATAAAGGGCTGACATCCAAAATACACAAAGAGCTCACGCACCTCAACAAACAAAAAGCAAATAATCCAATTTAAAAAATGGGCACAGCATATGAACAGACACTTCTTCAAAGAAGAAATTCAGATGACCAACAGGCACGTGAAAAGATGCTCCACATCGCTAATCATCAGAGAAATACAAATTAAAACCACAATGAGATATCACCTCACACCAGTTAGGATGGCCAACATCCAGAAGACAAACAACAACAAATGTTGGCGACGATGTGGAGAAAGGGGAACCCTCCTACACTGCTGGTGGGAATGTAAATTAGTTCAACCATTGTGGAAAGCAATATGGAAGTTCCTCAAAATGCTCAAAATAGACTTACCATTTGACCCAGGAATTCCACTTCCAGAAATTTACCCTAAGGATGTGGCACTCCAGTTTGAAAAAGACAGATGCACCCCTATGTTTATCGCAGCACTATTTACAATGGCCAAGAAATGGAAGCAACCTAAGTGTCCATCAGTAGATGAATGGATAAAGAAGATGTGGTACATATACACAAAGGAGTATTATTCAGCCATAAGAAGAAAACAAATCCTACCATTTGCAACAGCATGGATGGAGCTAGGGGGTATTATGCTCAGTGAAATAAGCCAGGCGAAGAAAAACAAGTATCAAATGATTTCACTCATCTGTGGAGTATAACAACGAAAAAACTGAAGGAACAAAACAGCAGCAGACTCACAGAACCCAAGAATGGACTAACAGTTACCAAAGGGAAAGGGACTGGGGAGGATGGGTGGGAAGGGAGGGATAAGGGGGTAAGTGGGAAAAAGGGGCATTACGATTAGCACATATAATGTAGTGGGGTAGCACGGGGAAGGCAGTACAACAGAGAAGACAAGTAGCGATTCTGTAGCATCTTTTACACTGATAGATAGTGACTGTAATGGGCTATGTCATGAAGATTTGATAATGGGGGGAGTCTAGTAACCATAATGTTGCTCATGTAATTGTACATTAATGATACCACAATAAAAATTAATTAATTAATTAATTAAGCCTATATAGAGTTAAAAAAAAAAGAAGATTGTTGACCTGGCTTTAACAATAATGGAGAATAAATGAAATATATTATGAGAATATACTTGAATACCTTCCATATTCTATAACAAATCATTAGTTATGCATTAGTAATAGTATTGCTGTGAATGCCTGAGGCTATTCTAAATTTCCATTAAGAATTTTACAATAAAATATAAAATTAAACTGGCTATGGCCCAAAATATCTTTTAAAATCTATTACTATCTTTTTATATGTAAAAACTAACAGAAGAAAAATTAATTTCCTTGGCTAAGAAGTTAAAGCATTGCTTCCCAATGTACACTCCAAGTGAATTCAAATGCTCTTCTATATCTGGTATTTACTATAGAAGTTGTAAAAGTTCTGGTGTAAGAGAAAACACGTTCACTTCAAAAAAGTTGCTAATCAACATTTTGGTCTCTTTTAATCCTGGTTTCACTTTCAAATAAAAGAACCTGAATATTAATATGTCCTAGTAAAAGAGCTTAAGTTTAACAAAAATTAATATTCTAGGAATGTAAAACTAATTTTGATACTAAAGCATACAATTTACTTCAAATCTGCTTTATTCCATTTCAGCACTGAAAAATTCTGGAGCGTGAAAAACTTTGTGAATTTTAAACTAAAATTAAGTGGGAACCCAAACAATAGCAACAAAAATCTATGAAGTAAAACAAAGGATGGGAAACATAGATGCTTTCAAGAGTACATAAAATGTAGATGCAAACTTTAGAGTCATTTCATTCTTTTTTTGCTTCCCTTTTTACTTTGAAAGGTTCCCTAACATACATTAATTGCCTAAAGGTATAGTGTTTAGTATTTAAGGAAATTTAATAAGACTGCCTGTAATACTCATTAAAGGCTTTATAATGACCATTTTTAAAAGATTATTTTAACTGACTTTAAGCAAGCCACCTGGCAAACAATATTTCTAATAAAAATCAGCTACTGCATTTGATAATATTAGCCCTTAACAAAATTTAAGACATAAGCAGAAGAGAATTTTGAAACAGGAATATAAAAAGATTTAATAAGTCAGGACCTGTTTAAAAATATTTTTCCAAACTGTTAAAAAAATTGAATTTACAGTTAGGATTAAATAAATGGACTTCTTAGGCAACATTATGGTAAATGATAAGCCATAAACATTAAGGCCATAACTTAAAATCCTGTCACATACAGTATAATGTAATGCTTTCCAAAAGGTTGGGTTTCTTTCAGCCCAAAGACCAAACCCAAAAACAGAAGAAGAAAACTTTAAGAAGTACTTGTTGCCTGAACTAGATCCAGAGAATAATTCTAAGATTTAAGATTCTAAGCATATATACAAATGCCAGTGCTATCTTTTCATAAAATCTAACACAAGAATACACATAGAAAAAGAAGTACAATGTATTCTTTTAATTACTTCATAGATATTCAGGAGGATAAAAAAGAAACTCAATGAATTCTACAATTGGCCAGTGAGGATGAAACATATGTCAATATTTTAACAAAAAAATTTTAATAAAAATTAAAAAATGAAGTAACAAGTAATCTTTAAAAATTAATTCTAAAATGGAAACCAGAAATTCAAACTGCCTTGATATTCTAAACTAATCTGCTATAATTAATTGTTCTAATGAATACAGTAAATTGCTAAGGATTATTTAACCACCATGTTACATGATCTAAACAAAGTATGAGCAGTAATGACTTGCAGGTGAAGCAAACAGGAAGTGGGGGGGGTCCTCACAAAAACCAGTATTAACTCCAGATTAGACACAATGTACAGCTCTGGCAGTTTCACCTCTCACTTCATGCCCCACTTAATTAAAGGGGAGCTTCATGCCAAAAGCAGCTCAATGAGGCAGCAAAACTTAGTACTTTGAGTATTAAAAGAATATGCAGGAATAACTGCTTAATTAGGAATAAACTTAGAAATCCTATCTTAAAATTATTTCTATTAAATGCAATATCCCAGAATGTTAAAGAGTACTTTCATCTTAATATATGTAAGTTCTATATTTGGAATTTATACAATTAATTGTATAAAGGAGAAGGACTGCCAAAGAAAAATGTTCTCCTCTTTGCATAAAATGGTAAGGAAAAGAACTTTTCAATAAAATAAAAACATCAGTATTTGCTAATTCAAAATGTTTAAAATTTCACACAAAATATATGTCTACAAAAAAATGTAAAATACGGCATGTGTCATTTCAACTGTTAAAGCTACCCTGCCACTTAATTTCAAGAAAAATGAATGGAAGTTGCTAAGGAAAACACTATATTCCATTTTATATGCTGCTGTCCTCATTTTTAGAACCAAATTTACATTTCCCTCATACAAAGTAGAGAGAGATTTTATGATAAGCATTTTCTATCTCAGCCTCAATCATGGCCTTGCCCTTACCTTTACTTGTTCACCTCCTTCTAATTTAAGTCATCTTGCTTCCTCTTTCTATTCCTGGTTAGCTGGTTTAAATGCTTTTACAGCAAAAGCACAACATATATACAGACACAGATTTACCCCATCACAGAATAACAAAACAGCCTATTAACTAAACTGAGGAGTTAAATGTGTTGAACACTTCATGGAAATTAATTATGTGCACATAGAGAGAAAAAGTAGAGCACAGAACATCTTTCCTAGATAATTTTCTAGTTGTGATTCATCAATATTATAGCAGATTATAAGCATCAAGTAATATGTTGTCAAATCTATGAAATACTTCATAAGCCTTTGTGATTATTACTTTTCTTATACAACAATGTTGACATGGGAAGTTAATTACTGGAAAACATCAATAACTTCAAAACATGGCCACTTCTTTCAAATATATTCTTTTTCATGCAAAAATATGAAATATAGTTCTCCCAGAGTAGCCAGAACCACTATAAACTTGGGCATGAAGCCAAAACACTAGAAAATGAGCTAGTTATTAGAAAACCAGTACTAATCAAGAAATAAATGTTCTGAAACAATGTTTTTTAGTTAGCTGAGAAACTTAAAAAACCTATTAATAGTACACTGGCTTATGTCAGTTATAATATCACTCTCTCATCTGAAAATGCAGTGGATATTGACAGAAAGTTCTTTTAAAACAGAAAGAAATAGAAGTTGAATATATAAATACCAACACCAAGTGTAGAAATGTCATTTAAATGCTATTGTACAGCATAATAAATAGGAGAGAGAAACCCTGAAGGCTAATGACTTTCTATCACAATTAGCGTTAGCACATACCAGTTCATCTAAAAACGTCTGCTTATTTTTCCTTTTTAGAATCTGCTGCAGTTGTTCTTCTTTTTGTACAAATAGTCTCCTTTGTTCATTTTCCTGTCTTTCTATCTCTAAAGCTTCTTCCAACTCTTCCTGTTCCCGAGTCTGAAACAGAAACATTTATACATGGCATACAATAAATTTAGTAATCAAAAATCCTATACCACACCCTCATAGTTTCTTTTAAAATTTTTTTGGAAGAAAAACACATTAGTTACTTACTGTTTAATAGTGCAGCAACTCCACTTTGAAGGAACCAGAATTCATTTGGTGTCATGTAGACATGTTACTACTAAAGGCAGTAACATCTAGCACTAAACAAACACCTAAACAAAATACACTGAGACCAGCTGCAGAACTGTAGGAACTGTGCTTAACAATTGGTTTATTTATTTACAATTATTACAGACAATTTCAAGTCATTCATTTTAGAGTAATTACCAAAGAAAACAAAACAAATCCAACAACAGACTGCTGACTGAAACCATCCACTTCAAAGATCAGCTTATTTAATAGGAACAATTCCCAGAACACATAAGATAGTGAAAAAAGCTTCTTTTTCCCCAATGTAAAATGAATCTCTATGATGCTAGAATTCCAAATAGCATTCATTTAAGGTAAGTTTTGAAAAACTGAAGTTATTTTCTAATACAAGCATATAAATTTCAAGAGTCCTCTTTGCAAACTGAAAATTCAAAGCTAATAGGTTAACAGAATGAACTACAGGACTACTAATTCTTCTTTTATGAAGCTACTCAGAAATATTAATTACTTCCAGGCTCTGAAATTTATTCCAACTCTAAGTCATGCTTCAAAGCAATATTACACCCAGTCTTTGCTCTTTAAATCTTATGAATGAAAAATACAGTAAAATCTGAATGGCTTTATTTTAAAACCTTGACTCTTGCTCTTGAAAATGTTGTGGTACTTTTTTTTAGTCAACAGAACATTGAGAATTTATGGCACCTCAAGGCAAATACAGAATGAGGGGAAAGAACATAATAGCTTTAGGGATCCATAACAATGTATAAATTAACAGAGACCCCAGAGAGAATAAATTTTAGGTAAAATAATATTAAAATTATCTATGAGATTGTTCTCAACTCACACATTAGGTAACTCCCAAAAAAGAAAAGTTCTCAAACAAAAAGATGTTTCGCTTATAATTCAAACTCAGTATATCCAAAATTAGCTTTATCATCTAGTATCAAAGTCATCTTTGTCTACTCCCTCTTTGCTCACCCCATTCCCCTTAAACTATATCAGTTAGCAACTCCTATAGTATCTCTCCTATAATTTTACAAATTTCCTCCCGTATTACCAAAGTTGCTACTCTAACTCAGGCCCTTGGTTCAGAAGAAAATTTAAACTTGATCTAAAAGGATTAGTAGGAATAAATGTAAAAAGTTAAGGGCTGAGAGATATGAGGGATAGGAAAGTGACTTCTTTGGAGGTTGTAGGTAAAATTGTAACATTTCCAAAATATCTCGCCTGGCTTTAGTGCATTTACATATCCTCAGGGGTGGAGAGAAGTTCATGTCCATGTCAATGGGTAATTACCTGGGCAACCGAGGGCGTGTCTGAACCTGAGAGGTTAAAGGGAGGGGGCTGGCTTGCTTGCTTGCGGGCTTCTTCCAGAGCAGAGGAGAAAGACAGCCCAGGACTTCAGTTTGTGAGCAATATACAGGTTTTAAACTTTATTTCTCCCTTTGACTGATTTCAGTTTTCAGAGGTATTTTGCCCCGGGATTTCCTCTTCCCGGACTAACAGAGGCCCATAAGCAGAAAAGGATGAGTGTCAGAGCAAAACCATGACATACAAGCAATTAAGTATGATAAGTGTTATGGAGGTAAACATGGGGTACAGTGGGTACAGAGTGGTAAATTCTCTTTGCAATAAGGGCTACAAAAAAGATTTCATTCAGAGTTGTGAGTTGAATGCGTCCCCCCAAAATATTTGTCGAAATCTTAACTCCTGGTCCCTATAAATGTGGCCTTATAAGGAAATAAGAGCTTTGCAGATGAAATCAAGTTAAGATGAAGTCATACTGGAAATCTGGACACAGACACACAGGAGAAAAAGCCAAGTGAAAACAGAGGCCAAGATCAGAATACTACCAAACGTTGCTGTCAACCACCAGAAGCTAAAGAGGCAAGGACAGATTCTTCCCTAGAGCTTTTCAGAGCGAGAGCATGGCCCTGATGACACCTTGATTTCAGACACTGAGCCTTCAGAACTGAGAGAATAAACTCCTGTTTTTATAAGCCATGTAGTTATAGCAGCCCTAAAGAACTAATACATGGAGGTTGGGCTTATTTACTTGAATATTACTTATTTACTCCCATTGGAGAATGGAGCAGCCGTTTAGGCAAAGAAAATAATGATGCAAAGACATAAATCAAGCTGAATGCTTGGTATCACCAAGTCATGAAGTATGGGGGTAGGGGAAATTTCTAGATAAAGCTGGACAGGCAAGCAGAGTGCAGATCATAGAGGGTCTATCATACCATACTAAGGGAATCTGTGTCATACTAAGGCAACTGGGAAGACATTAAGGAAATCTGAAGGATGAGTTAAGAAAGATGACTCACTGGAAGTGAAGTATATATATCAATGGGGTTTAAGACTGAAGATAGGAAGACTAGTTAGAAGAATATTTCAATAACCTAGATAAAAAATTATGAGATCTTTAAATAAGGAAATAGTAATAGAATTAAAGGAGGAACCAACCAGGTTTGAAAATAATGAGACTACAAACAGTATCCGAAGACTGACCAGAATATGGCTTTAACACTGCAATAGAGGAAATAGGATAAACAGGTAGGAGAGTGAAGATTTAAAAATTCAGTTCTAGAATGCTGAATTACAAGTGCCTGTAATACATCCAAAAGAAATGTCTAATAATCATATTACATAATACAATTCTAGGAGCTCAGGAGAAAAACAATGGGCTACACAGACATTTGAGAGCAATCAGGGTAAAGGGGTAACTCATAAAGAGAAGCACTGAGAGGAACCTGTTTAAGACAAAGGAAGGCAAGATAAGCCTTTTAAGTGGATGAAAGAGGAAGGTGAGAGAAGCAGGATGGAGGGGCCCCTCAGAAGTTAAGGAAGTTTCAACATCAAAGGAGAAAGAAGCCTGCACCAAACACTGCCTACAGGCTAAATGAAATTCAAACCAATAAAGAGTCTATCGCCTTTGGCAATGAGGAACTGGTAGCCTAAATTTTCTAAGACAGAACATATGAATATTTTTGCAAAAAGTGGACCTCAGATAAATACTGGTTGGCTGGTTACTGAATGAAGAACTATCATTAAAAATCAAACACTGATGAACAATGAAGAAAGTACTGGACTGAAAGAAGGGATACAGGTTCAAAGACTAAAGGTCTCTGAGTTCTTAAGGGCACTACCTTATCCAATCAATGTCCCATGCCTTCACCTCCCACTTCTAATCCATCAATAATACGACTTGCTATTTTTAACTCAAAATATTTCTCTAACTCATTCCTACCTCACCATTCCTTGTTGAAGTCACGCCTGAACTCACCTACTTAACTGCATTAACCTCCTGTTGGTCTCCTCAACTCTAATCCTCTCAAATTCAACCTTCACCAAATCACTAAACTTACTCTAATTTGGACAATACTTTATCATCTTGTTTAAAACCCTTCAATGACAATCATTACCAGCCAGGCTTTTACAATATTACTCTAAGGAATCCTGTGAATTCCCTAATAAGATGCCTAAGCCATACTTCAGAAGAGTTTGAGCAGATGAGAATTCAGCCTATCCCCCTCATGTTATCACCACAACCAAAGTATGCCAAGCAAGCTTTCATTTGAAGAGAAAGTTCACCTGCTAAATATAGAAACAACTGGTTTATATAAGCTCAAATTACTTTTTCACAATACCTAAGGTCTTACATAACCTAGGCCTTTTCTACTTCTCCAACTTCAATTCTCCATTGAATTTTGGCAATTCAGAACTACTTACTACTTACAACTCTCAGAACTCTCCATGATTTTCCATGCCTTCTCGTCTTTGTTCATGATTTCCTTCTGCCTGGAATGTCCTTGTGCAACTTCCCTTCCCCTATCCCTCACCCATCCTCTTCACCTTGGTAACTTCTGCTTTTCCTTCAAGGCTTCATTCAGGCATTCTCTCACCTGGAATGCCTACCCCAAAGTTCCAGAATGAATTAGGTCTTCCTCCTCTGTATTCTCACAATAACAAGTACTCAGCACTTTGCAAATGCTTATGACATACTGAATTTACCTGGTTCCTAGAGAACCTGGATCTTTATTCATCTTTGTATACTATATGCTTAGCGGATACTCAACCAGTGTTTACTGAACTTTATTTTTTTCACTAAACTCTTCACATTCTACACAGAAATCTCTTCTGCTCATGAGAATCCAGAAAAATTAAAATTAAAATTAAGCTAATCTTCACTATCTCAAGATTAAAACATCTTTTTCAGTTCCTACATACTCACTCTGATTGATATTAAATACCCAATCCACAAAACAAATAAATAAGATCTCCTTAGCAGACAACTCAGTAATAGCTTCTCTATACCAGAAATGGGTCTTTATGTGCCTAGTCATGCAAGAGATTGCTGTTTTCTTCTTTGATACAACTAATGTCTTTCAAACAGGGAGACCTCAATATTCACAGAGACATTGAAACTGGCACCTCAGGTTAGTAAAAGATCAGCCATGTGGGTTTGTCTATGACCCATGGGCCATGTTAGGGCTTTACCCAAGGACACCATAAGTTACTGATATGTTAACTAACATGTGGGTAAAACTGCAGTATTTCCAGAATCTCTTGCCTGGCTTTAGTGCATCTCCATATCAATAAGTGTTTCAAGGGGTGGAGAGAAGTAACATCTACATATCAATAGGTAGTTACAAGGGCAGGAGGGATTATCTGGACCAGAGAGGCTGGATGGAGCTCTCTCTTCTGCTGCAGCCAGGTCAAGAGAGAGGTGGGACGACTGCTTATAAGAAATAAATGGGTTTCTTAACTTTATTTCTCCCTTTGACTGATTTCAGTTTCAAAGGTATTTCTTCTGCCCCAGGATTTTCCCTCCCGGACTTACATAGCGCCATCTTAAAAACCGTGGTCCTATGTCTGTATGTTTATGCCAATACCAAATACTAAATACCCAGGTAAATATCATTAATAGGTATAATGCTTTGCAGAGAATGATCAAATAATAAGTGGTAATGAAATACTGACCAAAATACTTATAACATATCCAGGTGCTAAACATTAATATGAAGAATAAAAGCAGTCCAAATAATCTCATTGTAACATGCATGGAATAAAGTATTTGCTTTATTCAATAACCTATCATTATAAAGTCTTCAGATAATTAGAAATTCCTAGACTAAAATAATATAAGCAGTCTAAAATTATTCTTTCATTGAATCTCAGTATTATTTCCTAGCTTCAGACTATGAATGAGAAAAGCATTCACTTGAAAGGAACAACCTTCCATCAGTGAGCTAAATAGGGCTAATGCAAAGAGTTATACCTAGGCATACCTATTTTGAATGTACCTTCTGATGTACCTAGGAAAGGCTCCTGGGAAGAGAGTAATGTTCATGACACACTGATGCCCTCAAAAATGAGACACCTTTCTAAGAAAGCCAGGCTATGTATGAATGGTATGAGAATGTAGTGTCAATCCATTGAGAGCTTTGCAGCAGAATAAAATGCCTAAATGAAACTCTCTATAGACTACTAGGAAGAAATCCTAAACACAAAATACAAATTCAAGCCATGTGTTCCCAATACACTTGTAACATTTTTACCAATGATTATAAATTCCTGATAAAGTACTTCATAAATAATTACCTCTGCTTTCCCCTAAAACTAGAAAGCCAAGTTGTACTAAAAAAAATGATAGCTAAATTGTGTAGGTTAGACAATTAAACCTCTGTATGCATACAATTCTTTTTCTTTCACAGAATACATTTTAATAATGACCTCAAAGTTGTTTTTGCTATAGTAATATGAGCCTCTTACCTTTATGCTTATATACATGTATAAGTATCTCTGGCCTAAATTTTAACTAAATTCTTCATAAAGTTAACATCAAGGAAGAAGGAAATACTTAAAAACCAACCAGCTTTAATTTGTTTTTCTGAATGACATCTTTGTTTTCCTTTTGGTATATCTCCATTTTCTTTTTGGTGTTGTCCAAATCCACATTGTTGGTCAAGTTGAAAACTGCATCAGAAGGAAACAATGGCATGAAATACAGTTTTAATATGTTATCAGTAGATAATAAAAATGAAATATTCATCACAGTGACTTCTAAATTCATTAAGTTGTCACTACTCACAGTTCTATTTGTGTCTTTTTGACCTACTACCTATAAGATAAATTCTAGCCGAAATAAGCAGGCAACAACAGGCAACAAAGGACCAGGCAGTTTATTTGAGCGCAATCCCCGGGTGATGTTCCCCAGTCTGGATATTACAGGCCGGGGAAGTCACACCCGGTCAGGGAGGTGGGGGCTTATAAGGGGTTAGGAGGGGGAGGAGTGGGCAAGCTATCCTAGGGGGCATGGAGAGGTATGATTGGCTAAAGGTGACATAATAGACAGCTAGAGGCTTATAAGGGGTTAGGAGGGGGAGGAGTGGGCAAGCTATCCTAGGGGGCATGGAGAGGTATGATTGGCTAAAGGTGACATAATAGACAGCTAGGAACTTTTTTCCTTCCAAGAGGGAGGAGGCTGACATCCGGGTCTTAGTTGGCACATCAGAAGGATGAAATTCAGGAAGAGCTGTCCCCTTTCCATATAAGGCACAGACCTTGGGGTCTGGTCTGTTCTCCTTTTATGGTATCTCTCTGTTCTGTTTGCATGTCCTTATTTTTCCTTCCTCCAGCCTAACACTAACTACCTATACCTATTTCAGACTAGCTCTAGTTCAGCAGCTGTGTTTTCTGAACCAATACAAGGAAAGACTGTAAGATTATCACACACAATATCTAAATATCTGAATCACCCCAGGAACCCTAAGATTTGTGCCACTAAGATAGTCCCCACTCTAACTTTAAACACATATAAAAGACTGCTGAATTTTTTTAAATAGAAAGAGTTAAGTCTGAGATCTACTACACTAGTCAGAATCAATATTGAAAAGAATCTGTGCTCCAGAAACAGAAAAATTATACAAAAAATAAAAATATATATTTATAATTTAGATCAAACAAAAACAGGTTTATTCACATTCCAATGGTCTCCCATATGGCTAGATACAAGATTCAATTATTTTCCATATACATCTGGAAAAGTATGAAATACCTAGGTAAGATTTGAAATTTATTTTAACAGGGAAGGTAAAAGGATAAACTAGCACCAAAACTTAAGACTGAAATAATTTCATAAAAGAAGCCACTAAGACATGTTCTGATGGGTAATAAAATTTTAAATGAGTCAAAACTGTCTTTTTATAAGTCCAACTCAAAATAATTTGAATTATAAATACCATACTCCCTTCTAAAGTTTATATAAATAAAAGGTTGCTATAATACTTTGAACCAAGAAAAAAAAACAACCTCTTTTGCTATATATACAAATTCATACTACAAAATACCACCCCACCACTCCATCCCTTACAGTGTTTACCTCAGCCTGTCTATAGAAAGGTCCATATCATTAAGACTCTCCTGTTCCATAATTGATTTCTGACCTCCCTTGGCTTCCACTATAATCTTTCTCCATACACTATTACCCTTCTCTGATTACTTACCACTGCTTCCTGCTGCTTGTCCTATAAATGGGTTTGATGCACCCTAAATAACCCTGCTCTACTCCATGTTTCTACAGATGTCTTCCCCATCTCTCTCTTTCCTTTAACAAACCATCTCAAATAGTTCCTACACTTTTGGATTACAGAGGCCAATAAGAGTTGAAAAGTAAGACTAGAAGCCCAACTAAGGTTACCTGTTTGTTAAGTAAGGCCATCAAACATACTCAAAAATTAAATCCAATCCAGAATTTCATTTTTATCTCCTAAAATGGCCAACTTATTTCAGAACATCGATTTGTTACAATCATTATTGAAAATCCAGGCCCATTTAGGTATGTAGAAAACACAGAAGCAATCCTCAATTCTACTACATGCAATTTTAAAAATCTGAGAGAAATGAGAGAAAATGAGAAACAATAACCCTCTGGCTAGTTCTCCAGCTTTTTTACCACAAAGTAGAAAAGAAAATGGTAATGGTAAACCAGGCACTCTGACTAGGATGGAATGTAGGGCATTCCCCATAAATCACACATCATACTGACACAAAATAGAGAAGGAGGCTCCAAACTAGCAACAGTCCTCAGGAAAGCAATGGTGATCTATTCATGCTCCTGTTTCAGGATCTTTGCCAACAAGTCAGGACTTATTTCTTATATTTAGCAAGTCATCTGCTGAGCTACCAAATCCAAAAATCTTTCACAACTTCCACCATCTCAATAGCTATGCCCACTTAGCAATGTTAATTACTTTTTTCCCCTCAGGCACTTCCTTCCCTTGACTAATTGTTAATACATTCTCCTGATTTTCTTCTTCCTACTAATCCAACTACTCAAGATTCTTGGTTCCTACTCTGGCTTTTCTTGGCCTCTAAGTCACCTGGTATGATTCTAACTTTTGCCAGTTTCTTGTATGTTCCTTGGGCAATCTCTTTACATCCCGTAGTTTCAACTAAATGAATGCCAGGAAAAGCTGACACTGTCTCAAAGTGTATTTTAGAAAACCAAACACATATCTTCAAATTTGCTCCGCCTTACAAATTTTTTTTATTAGTAGTATGACTGCCATGCCTCATTCATCTGAACCACCCTTCTTTGCATTCCACAAGTACCAGCTGCCAAATCCTACAGATTCTACCACCAAAATCTCTATAAAACCACCCTTATTCTTCATGTACCTTGCCAATATACCACGTCAGGATCTTATTTCTCCCTGAATAATTTATAATAACCTGTGACTTAAATTCTTATTTCCAAAAGGGTAGTATCTTTGCATTTTACTTTATACCCTAAGTCCATCCAAAATACAGAATGCTGCCAAACTAACATTTCTGAAGCATACCTCAAATCACCTTCTACCTTCACTATCCTAGTCCTCTCTTACCTCCTCTACCTTCCCTCCCTTTTACTAGGAAAAAATCAAACACTTTAGAATTCAGAACACTTTATAAATTACTGGCTATAACTATTTTTATCTCCCCTCAATAAAGACCTCTCTTGAAATCAGACAGCTCTGCATTTCCCAGATGTCCCCCACACTTCCTGCTCCAGTTCCTTTGATCATACCTGCCCAGAATGCCTAATTCCCCTTCTTAGTGCTGAAAATATACCCAATCTTTAAATGTCACCCCAAACACTACCTTTTCCATGAAGTTCTCTGACTGCCCTCACTTCCTTCTCTTAATGTTGAAAATGTTACTTACAGCTCATAAAAAGTTATTTCTACTTTCTATAATGTGTATAATGTGTATACACATACACAACATTCTTTACACTTCTTGCACTCAAAGATCATATTTTATACAATCCTGTATCATCCAGACATAAGGGAAAGAAGAAACAGAAGGAGAAACGAATTTAACAACAATTATTAGGTTCCCAACACACTATGGTGTAAGCACACAAAACAACTTTCTGCTTTCAAAACCTGACACTCTCATTAAGAAGATCACCCCTACACAGATGAAACCAAAGTAATAATACAAGGCATTATATGATCAAATGACAATGGAGAAAACAAAAATATTTTTGCTTCATTCATTAAATACTATTTACCACTGCACTGGTTGTTGAATAAATGTTTAGTAAAGAATAAACTGCTCTTTCCTTTAGCAGAATTAGCTACTAAATAACCCTCCTAAAACAAAGTTCTGATTATGTCATTTAATCAAGAGTCACTCAATTCACTTATCACTTCTCCATCTACAATAATTTGGGGAAAAAAAATCCCATCTTATCTTTTACATTAACTTTTCCTCTATGCTGTGTGTTGAGTTGAGCAGATTCCTCAGAGCCTCTTCAAGAACCAAGGGAAAGAAAGACTGAGTAATTCAACCAGAGTGGCTTTCCTTCATGCCTCCTGAGCTGATCTCTTTCTCAAAATTCTGCCTGAAGAATACACTTACAGAGTATATATCTGTTTGTGTGTGTGTGTGTGTGTGTGTGCGCGTGTATCAAACATCTATGAAATACAAATATCAAAAATCGATGAAATACATGACAGGCCCTATGTCCTAATCTTACCTAATTATATAATTTAATCCACCTAATAACCTTATGAGATGGGTACTATTATTCACAGACAAGGTTTAAAGATATTAAATAAATACATACAAGGTATACAACTCATAAACATCGGAACCAAGACTTTAGCCTAAGCTATCTGATTCCAAAGCCTGAATTTTTATCTACAATGTATTCTCTTAATGCCTGAAAACCACTGCTAGCCCAGTTCTGCTATTCTGCATCTGTACAGGCCTCATACTTTCCTATATCCACACCTGTGATCAAACAGTTCCCAGAGGCCCATCTTACTATGAAACTCAACTCAGAACAATTGTGATATTTATATCTGGCCTACCCTTCTATACCCAGCTTAGAACTCACTTTGCAAGTACATTCTCTCTATCCCTGAATGCCCACAATATATTACCTAATAACATTCTGGTGACACATATCCACTTTCCACCCTGTATAATTATTTTCAACTCACATATAGAGTATTATAGAGTGTTCCTTGAGAGAAGATTCTAGGTCAGATTTATCTTTATTACTCCCAGCACTTAAAATTAAAAAGCTGCCACTACATACTGATTACAATGGACAAAATCCAATATACTGACAACACCAAATGCTGGTAAGAATGTGGAGCAAAAAGAACTCTCATTCACTGCAGTAGGAATACAAAATAGCACAGCACTTTGGAAGACAGTTTTAACAAAACTAAGCTTACTCTTACCATACAATTCAGTAATCAGACTCCTTGGTATTTATCCAATGGAATTGAAAACTATATCTACACAGAAACCTGTGTACAGATGTTTACAGCAGCTGTATTCATAAATGACAAAACATGGAAGCAACTAAGATGTCCTTCAGTAGATGAATGGATAAATAAACTGTGGTACATCCAGACAATGGAGTATATTCAGCACTGAGAAGAAATTTATCAAATCATGAAAAAGACATGGAGAAA